GATAGATAGATAGATAGATAGATAGATAGATAGATAGATAGATAGATAGATGAATGAAAGTTTTCCCTTTCACCTTTTTGTTTGCTTCTCCACTGCATGTCATACGTGTGCCATACGTTAGCATGTGCCTGTTGCAAAGATAGAGATGCAGGTTTAGCCTTATGTCTGTTCACCATTATTTTTTCAATCAAAGGTCCCAGTGAGATACAGGATCTTTTCTGGGAGTTATACCTGCTTAGGATAAGTAACAAAATAAGGCTTCACGAAGAATAACGTACAAACTGCTACATAAGCAACACATTATATTCGACCAATTTTAATGTAATATTTAACAAAACACAATAAACAAAAAAATATGTAGGAATCATACGGTAAAGAAAAATGTGTAAAATAATAACATAAAGAGCATTTTTGTAAACACTGATTACAGTAGGGGTAAATAATTCTTTGCTGCTCTGCTGAATTTAAAGTTTGTTCAGTTACAGATTCAGTAAAATATGTACGTGAGCAAACGTATAAATGAGCTCTCGACAGTTTGGTTTTAATGTAGGAGACAGAATATCAACCAAAACATGAAATCGTTGTTGGCAAGTACAGCGATAAGACATTTTTGTAGCTGATCAGCAGGTTTGATTACATGTTGGGAGGGATTTGACCTTTGACCTGCCGTTTGGCTTCAGCTCCCACCACTGATTTTCTGCAGGACTGAGGTCTGGAGACTGGCTCAGCCACTTCATGACATTAATGTGCTTCCTGATGTTGGTTTCATCTGACCACTGCACTTTCTTGCCTTCTCTTGGTAAAATTGATGGAATTATAATCTTGACAGCAACTGATTAGGAGCAGCTTCATTTTTCAAACTTGCAATCATAGTATTAAAACGAATAATTGGAAATTATGGTAAATGATCAGCTTTATCAACAAAAAACTGGGCACGAGTCATTCAGTCCTACCTTGATGATATGGTGGGCGGCTTTGTAAGCTCCTGTTCCCTTCAGTTTCAGTCCAGGTGCATGTTCACCTGTTTCATATCCCTCCACAGCAATGGACTTAATAACGAGACACTGACAATCACTCTCTGACACAGTATACTGTATTACATTACAACTGTAAACTGTGAAGGAACCGTTTTTCTTTAACCTGACATACCCAAGGATTGTTGAAAGTAATCCAGTACTTGACTCTGTTTCCAAATCTTTCAAAGCATAAATTAGCAAAGTCGTTAAAGTAATTCACCATGCTGATATTGTGCCAACCGCCATATTTCTCATGTAACACCTGTGGAGAGAAACATAGATTTTACTGTTGTATCTACAATATAGCTTTGGATAAGAAACTATGTTGAGCAATAATATTAGTGCTTACCTGTGGTAAATCCCAGTGGTATAGAGTGACAATGGGTGTGATCTTGTTATCCAGTAGCATGTTAATCAAGTCACTGTAATATTTAATTCCTTTCTCATTGATTTTTTCACCTGCAAGAATTGAAAGTGACATACACTACATGGTAAATGGCCTGTATTT